ACACACACACACACACACACACACACACACACACACACACACACACAGGTTCAGGAGACTTTTCAACCAATACCTAAGCACGGAGTGGGTGGCACACTATCATCCAGGCTGCATGGTAGGCTGAGACCTGGACTTGCAGGCTGGTCTGGGCAAAAGTGTTTGTGACACTCTACCTCAATTGGAAGATACTAGACACCAAAAATCATGCCTGCCATCTCAGTCAGGTAAGGAAGAGTAAACTAGGAGGAGAGTGTTCTGAGTGTGGGTCTAGGCAAAAAGGAATATGTTATTTCAAACAGACTCTACAGAAAGGCTGAGTGTATGTGTGTGTGTGTGTGTGTGTGTGTGACTCAAGTGGTAGAGCACCAAGCTTGAAGTCCTCAGTTCAAATTTCAGTACTGGCAAAAAAAAAATAGTGATGAAGTCTGTGGGAACCCAGCTGAAACCCTGGTCACTCAAAAAAGGTGAGCAGGGCTCACTTCTGATGGGACTCACATCTGTCGCTGCCTTTGGCAAAGGGCTCTCCTTCTGAGAGTGGTTTTCACTAGTGGACTTGCTGCTGTGACCACCCGGGCACTTCTCTGGTTTCCTAGGGTCTGTATTCCTTTCCAGTCACAATCAACTCAACACATTCTCACTTTGCTTTGCTTTCTCAGTCTCCTCAGGCTATGATGCCTTTGGCAAAATCCTACTAATCTTTTAAATATCACTGTGAAACCACACCTCTGCCCAGCCAGGCAGTCTAACTTCTGAATTCATTTTCTTTGTTACGTTCAGAACAGTAATTGGTCCTACTGCGGGCCTAATTGCTCCTGTGGGCAGGTGTTGCCACCAGATTCCCCTAGATAAATTTAGGACAAACCACAGCCTCTAAACAATTTAGTACAACAGTCTTTAGTTTGTTATAAACCCTTGGTTCTCTGTTATTTCCCCTGACAGGTTTCTTCTTGTCAGCACTGCTGACATTAGGGCTAGTTGATTCCTTGTTATGGGGGAATTCTACATATTGGATACCAGTAATACGTTCGGGTGTGTCATGGATATGGCCAAATAATACTGATGGGTATACTACTACCAGCTGAGTACTACTGCTCTAAAATGGTAGCCTCATGGAGTGGGGTGTGTGTTGTGGGTGGCAGTTGGGGTGTTCTAGCACTGACACTTGGATCTTCCACGAAATACAGACTCAGGTCCTGCTGTCAGGAGTTCTGAGGATTGCAATCAGCCAGCACCCTTTCAACAAGCTTTCCAGACCATTGGGATGCTCTTCGCAGCTGGCCATAGTACGCTTGCACACAGCTGCTTCACTGGCACCGTGCCTGGCTTGAAAGAGGACTGAAAACTGTACTGACCAAAGCAGCCAGCAGCACCTGACTGAAGGAAGCAGAATCCTTTCCAGGACGCTTCCAGCAGGGGGCCACCTGCCCTTGACTTGAGGAACTTCAGTGATGGAAATGAACTTAAAACACAATCTGTTTTAAAACTTGGAGTCATTAAAGAATATTCTGCCTTATGTCTAGAGCCTAAGCCTGCCTCTCTGAAGTTATTTTCGTAGCTTGGGGCTTGGAAATCAAGCTCTAGTTACAAGATATATACATACCTACATATATATAATGTGTATATACATAGTATGTGTATGTGTGTGTGTGTATATATATATATATATACATATATATATATATCAGCATATTTAGTTCCATCAAGTAAACTAAAGTTTGTAGAAATTAGTTATATGTATGTAACATAATGCCAAACGATGACAATTATAACCACAACAGCTTAAAAAAATAAGCCCATTACGTTATGTATGACTCCAATTTAAATGATTATAAGGTCATGGAAGCCTACCATTTGGGTATTTGCTAACCATCACTAGGAGGTAAATGTTGTCAGACCCTTAAAATTAAAAAAAAAAGTGGCCAAAATAACCTTAAAGGTAACATGTTAATTACCATTAAGGGTATGATTCTGAGAAAGTGCACACAAGTTTGAACAGTGAACAGAGTCCAAACAGTACAACCCAAAGTGACCACAGTTCACAATGTCGCCACCTGCGCAACGGAAGCCCTGGCCTTCTGTCACATAGCAGAGAGGGATGGCCTGTGCCAGGGCTCAGTGTGTGGTTCTCCTCTCGGAACAAGTTCTCCCAAGGATAAGCCAGACCACTTCAGGGTATTCTCATCGTACCAGATTGTACGGAAAGCCTTCAATGAGGATAAATGACTCCACTGAATAAACAGGATAAAAGACAGCCACGTGAAAACTCTAGACCCAGAATAAGGAAGGAGTCTTCATGCTGACTAAACATTCAGTCCAGGTATTCACCAGAGACCATTGCACTCACTGCTCTCTGCCTACCTCAAACTTTTATCTGGATTTGATTTTTCAAAAATCTTTCTCACTCCTACAAGTTGTATTTCTATTCCTTGCCTAAACATAATTTCCTAATGTAATGTTCCCTGCTCTTAATTTCAAAAGCATGGGCTAGTAATTCAGCTAGTCCTATCTAGAATTTAAACCGCTTTCTTCTTGGATAGCTAACTTAGACTTACTGAGATACAAATAACGCCCAGCAAACAGTTTTCCTTGGGTGGAGGAAGTGAGGATTAAAACTCAGGCCTCAAGCCTGCTAGGCGGCTGCTTGGCCACTTGAGCCATTCTCCCAACCCTTTTATATTTTAGAATAATTTTTGGTAAAGCCTTGCAATTTTTGCCTAGGGTAGGCCTTAGAGAGTGACCCTCTTATTTGTGTCTCTAGTAGCTGGGATTACAGTCACATGTCATCAAAACTTGGCAAACAAAGCCTTTAGAGTTATTGAGTGTTCTGGCTATAATTTTATACTTCTCACACCCTAAATAATTTTCAGAAATTGCCTAAATCACACCCAAAAAAATCAGAGATGAAGGTATGGCTTCTTGGCTGAAGTTTCGTCAGTTTTAGTGATCATTAAATATTAGGCATCACTTTTCAAACAGTTGGCAATTTCAGATCAAAGGCAAGGTTTCAACAGTCAGTTATTAACCCAGTAACAGCTTCATTTGCAGAGAAGTACCTCCCACCTCTTCTGTCTTGGAGGGAAGTCATTATTGCTAATGAGTACTTGAAATTTACTTTCTCCCAGTGGAAATGTGGTACAGTATAACACACACATCTGACTCTAAGTCTCTGGATGGAAAACATAATGTATTTTACATTTTTCTATTAATTGCTGAATGAAATTATATTGTTGACATACTGAACTATTAAAGTATATTATTAAATTTCAGCTTATCACTTCCTTTTTATAATATGGTTACAAGAAAATTTAAAGTTACATATATAGTTCTCACTTTGTTTCTATTTCAGAGCAGTGTATGGCCCACGTAATCAGAATCCCAGCTCATAGATAAAGTATGTGTACATCATACATCTGTATTCTACCCCTACCTTTAAAAACATAAACCAATTGCCTAGTTTGGTCTAACCTATTCTCCTATAATTTTTGCCAGATTAACCACTCAATATTTTAGCAAGAGTCATAAGACTAAGCATGCACGTGTGCTTTTTGAGTTTTCCACCAAAATACTTAATGTTTTTAAACTATATAAGTCTAAGGGGTCCTTCTACAAATGTGGAGTCTGTGTTGAAGTTTATGTTAAACCAGGGCCAACCTATGTAATGTCGGCAAAATACTTACAGTACTGGGGTGAGCAACCAAAGTTCATTCCGGTAAAACTAAACCAAGGTACTGGGTATGAGTTCTGGGGTAGCCTAGACTCATATAGTTTTACCCACATACTTGCCTGAATTAAAATTTACTTTGAGTTTTGGTTTATCAAGGTGACTAATGCTAATAATCGCCAACATAAAACATAGCCTTGATGAAGTTGGACTTGTGTTTCTTTGACATTGTTTTTATTACCAAATGACATTAATCATTCTTGAATTTGAAATCTGAAGATTTCAATAAGATGACTGAGTAGATAGCACTAGGCCACCTTACAAATAGTTGGGACTTAATAGTTGGGACTTATATGATTGCTACTTATATACTATCAGTCAATAGTTTCCTTTATTTTCATGCCTAGAAATCTTCCTTATTGTGATATTTTTTGAGATGTAGTAACATTGAATAAAGCTAACAATTTTCCTAGTATAGAAAAATACTGCCAGAAGTTTTCTCACTTTTAATTTAGCCTTTGTATTCTTCAGCACTGTAATATGTCTCAATAGGTAAAAGACTTTTAAAAATATATTTAAAAATTACATTAAGAATATTAAAGTTGGACACCAGTTACTCAGGAGATTGAGATCTGAGGATATGGTGAGAAGCCACTCCAAAAAGACAAATCTAAGAGACTAGACGTAGAGCTGTGTCTCAAGTGGTAGAGTGTCAGCCTTGAGCAAAAAAGCTAAGTGAGAGTTACAAGTCTCTAAATTCAAGCCATAGTACTGGTATACACACAACACACACACACACACACACACACACACACACACACACACACACGATACAAGTTTCAAATTTTAAACTGAGAAGTAACTGTTAAAAGCAGTAAAACTAAATTTCGAGAAGCTGATGTCACCTCCTGTGTAGTTAAGACTTAGGGATTATCTCTGTTCAGGAAAATTTCCCCAAGACAAGAAATTCTAATTTGTACATGGCTCTGCATAAGCACGGCAGGATGTCACCTTTACCCAGAATTCTCAGCCTCATTGTCCAGATTGTTATATTTTAAGCTCCAATGACTCAGGAGAGGATGGGAAAAAAATACCATTCTTAACCATGCTGCATCTCTCATTTTTCGGAAGACCACTCACTGGGCTACAATTACACGCCATCGCACACATCACCAGTTTAAGATCCAGAATGTAGCAGAGATTTGCCTTGATGATGCTTTCCTTAATTCAGTACTGTATGTTAGCAAAGATAATTCAACCCTTTAGGTAAATGGAGGTAAAGGCTGACCAGTGAAGGAAGTGTAGGGAAATAAATAGGTGGATAAATAAATAAATAAAGCAACATGCGGAAAGACACTTGTCAGCACTAACGCCCACAAGTGCCAACAGATGTGACCCATTAAATGAAGCATGTGCCTCAGACTTGGCACTCCTTCCAGGGGGGAAGCTCTCCTTTCAGCAAAAGCAGCACATTGTACAAGTGAGCCCTCTTCACCACCCTCTGCCTGGCATCTCTGCCTAGCGTAACTGGCACGTCATGGTGTGTGTGGGAACTGTGCCACCCTGACAGGTGGCCACGACTCTGAAGCTGCCAGAGTCACACAATGAGCATCAGATTCACATCCAAAAGTTGGACCCAACCAAGCCTGCTTTCATGTGCAGAAGGAAAGTTGAACTTGCCGTCCTCAAATTTGGGAAAATTAAGCATTGGAGGAACCAAAGAAACATGATGGCAGAAAGAAAGAAAAACCTGGCTGCCACCGTCGGCATTCACTCAGCAGCAGCCCCAACTCCATAAAACGTGGGTGTCCAGTAGGATGTGAGTTGGGCGGCTGCCCTGCTCTGTAAGTTGAGTGATTCTAAGTCAAAGAAAAATGAATGACTTAGACTGAAAACACAAAGGAATTACAACTATTTTGTGTTAGGCTAAGGAGTAAGCAGAAAATGCTTAGGAGATTAAAAACAACAGAGATTTGATCTCTCATCTTTGGAATTATGAATTATAGTTTAGTATTAAAATGACTGTCCTTGAAACACAGCAAATCCCTTCCTCAATGGAAGAGACTCTCTGCCTCTCAGTGTCATTCCAATAAGACGACTATTTTATTAGTTTAAAAGGGAAAACCTTTTTCTGATTCTAGCAAGCTTACTATGTATGGATTGTTTCCAATAGGAAATACCAGGCTTTAAAACAGATAAAAATATTGACAAAATATCTCATTGCAAGAATAGCACTGTTTGTTTCAGGTACTCAGAAATAATAAGTAGTGTTAGTGATATAATGACTTAATTATTATTATTTTTTAAATGCAAGTGTGCTGCCTTTACAAGGAAACATGCCTTTTGATTCTGTTGCAAAAGGCCTTGTTTGGAGACATAGTTAAGTACACAAAAGATAAAAGAGAACAAAGAAAAAGAAACCAATAATAACAAAAAGAAAAAAAACAGAAAGAGGCCTGGAAATGGTATATGAGTAGATTTTTTTTTTCATTTTCTGAAATGCTAGTATTCCAGAGCTCAGCACAGAGCTGCTTGCTAATAAACTTAGGCAGTTAAAAATTGTCCAGAGCTTTATAATACAGACACTGTGTCTATAAAGAAACCATAATGAGGTTACTCAAAAAGAGATGTGGTCTCTGAAAGAGCCTTTTAACTAGTTAAATAATTAATTTCAGAGTACTTCAATTTTTGGTCCTTGTAAAATAATATTAAGTCTGTTTCACTGTGAAAACCTTTTTAGAAATTCATGTTTATGTGTAACTAATGCAATGCCTTTATTAAACTTTATTAAACTTTACATTCAGCTCTAACATGTACGGAAATCAAATCTTTAAACAGTTCACTTTAAACATCGAGTGGCATGATGATTTGCATCCCAGGAAATACTAGATTTAAATTATACCATGGCCAAATTTTGCTTCTCTGCTGAACATGAGCAAATATGGGCAAGTGGAACAGGAACTGTCATTGCAATGACATGCATATGTATTGGCCACCTGGATTTTGTACATTTGTACTGACTAGTTCGGGGAAAACATAAATGTGGTTACTCATAAGACATTCCTAACTCCAAATGAACATATAGACACCGAATTCCCAGGAGTATGAAAAGCTCTTCTCTATTAGACCAAGGGAAATTAGAGAGATCAGCCAAGAAATGACTGGTACAAAGATCATAGCCTTCTGTTCTGCAAACATGAAAAGGTGACACTGAGCAAAGGCTGAGAGGTAAGGACAGGAGGACAAAGTTCACAGGAAAGTATGGAAGATGGAGATAGTCTGTTCTTAAGGCATCAGGCTTAATGCAAGCTTTATTTTATTTTTAAAATTTTTTTTGGTTGGTTGTGGGGCTTGAACTCTGGGCTTGGGCGCTGTCCCTCTGCTCTTCAGCTCAAGGAGAGCGCTCTACCGCTTGCGCCACTGTGCCACTTCCGGTTTTCTAGTGGTTTATTGGAGATAAGGGTCTCACAGACTTTCCTGCCCAGGCTGGCTTTGAACCTCGATTCTAGACCTCAGCCTCTCAAGTAGCTAGGATTATAGGTGTGAGATTTATTTTAATCAAAATATACTGGACTGGACTGGTGCTGGGGATGTAACTCAATGGAACCACTGCTTTGCATGTGCAGGCCCTGGGTTCCATCTCCAGCACTGATACAAACAGGAACACACACACACACACACACACACACACACACACACACACACACACACACACACACACACACACACACACACACACCTGTAAGTCCAGAGCCCTGTCCAAACAGGAACTTTTGTCTTTCTAGGTTTGCAAACCCATGGTCTGGTATAAGAAATGCCCTTAAAGTTTGCTTCTGATTAGTTGATGGAATGAACAACATAGGCTTGTAAGTCTCTACTGGAGACCCCATGTACTTATGCCTGAATCAGAATGACTTCTGTATACAGGACTCTGATTTTTCTTCTGGTAATCTCAGTTGGTGGATAATGTATACCTTTTTTTTTTTTTTTTTTTGGTGCCAGTACTGGGGCTTGAACTAAGGGTATGAAGCCACTTGAACCATACCTTCATTTCTGATTTTCTGCTGTTAACTGGAGTCTCACAGATTTTCCTGCCTAGGCTGGCTTTCAAACCTCTATCCTTAGCTCTCAGCCTCCTGTGTAGCTAGGATTTCAGGCGTGAGCCATTAGCACCTGGCCACTGTGCACCTCTTCAGACTTCTAGGCACCCTTTGTGCAAAGTGGAACATTAACAGGATATTTCAGGATTCTTCCAAAGAGCTCTTACTTACAGACAAAGGAGCACACTCCATTTTTCACATGTTTAAAACTGAGCAAAGAAAACTAGAAACACAGAAATGTTAATGAAAACGCTGTGCTTCTAACACAGAGGGTGTGAGTCTGGGGCACTAGATCTCAGGAAGTCACTCTTGTGAAACAACATGTGCTCCAAAACAAGCTCAGGTGCCATGGCGCAGAAGGAACATGCAGGCACACCGAGTAAAGGCTCTCATGGGTGTGGTCCGACCCATGCTAGGAAACTATGGCTAGTGGCTGAGCTATAAACACGTAGGGCATCTAGAATCCAGACTAGTGTCCAATCCCATGACCCAGCCAGAAATGAAACAGCAAAAATCTACTCCAAGTGCTTGGGGTCTGGTGTTGCTTCCTCCTGTGGCTTGGTGCCTGCCCCCTTGATGCCCTCCACCCCAACACTCCCATATCAACAGTTGCATCAGCAGTATTGAGCTATGCGTTATGATAAAGGCAATGGAGTAGACAGACAGATCAAGGACAAATTATACCTCTGACCCATGTTCTCTCATGATCATGAGCAAACAGATCATTTCCCACCTGTTAAAACACTGCTTGACAGGACAACAACATGCAGGCTGAAAATTAAGAAGGCAAACATAATGCTTACTTTCTCTAAATGCTTTACAGTAGCCAAGGAAAGATAACAAAAAGAACAGGGCACACAGGAGGTCTGCACGGCCGACAACACCAGCAACCTTAAAAGAAGGGGAAAAGAAAGAGATTTACTAAGACACATATAAGCATTGCTGCACATTAGAAATACAAACACATCCCTTTGACATATAAAACAAGCAGCCTGCTAGCCTTAATCACTAACGAATGTGCAACAGTGCAATAATTCTGTGGTACTGTCTTACAATTGGCTCTCTTCATTTTGGGTCTGAGACTGCTTGGTAAAGGTGGGTAGGCTTCAACAGTGACTGTGCAAGGTGCACATTAGTGACATGCGCCCAGCAGGTTTTAATGCATTACACCAAGATCTTCCGCATTGGGCCTCTCATGGCCCCACAGAGCGTTTTTAATTGGAAAATGTTATCAGTTCAGAGGCTATGATATTGAAAAAAAACTGCTGGGGCTGGGAAGGTGGCTCAGTGGTACAGTGCTTGCCTCACATGCATGAGGCCCTAGGTTGTATTCCTCAGCACCACATAAATAGAAAAAAGCTAGAAGTGGCATTGTGGCTCAAGTGGTAGAGCACTAGCTTTGAGCTGAAGAGCCTGAGGGACAGTGCCCAGGCCCAGAGTTCAAACCCCATGACCAAACAAACAAACAAACAACTGTTTAGAAGCAAGAAGGATATAAAATGGGAAACATATTTATTAAAAGTCATCACTTAGGCCAAAAAGGACACAAGGATGACCTTTCCAAGCTGCCTCTGCTACCTATCCATTTGTCAGGCCCAAATGGAGTCAATGGGTAAATTGGGGAACAGAGTGAAAGGAAAGAGTCACAAGATGAAAACAGTGGGAATCAGGAGATATCCTACTGAGCGGATGAGTCAGGCTCAAAAAACAAAATACTGTGTTTTCACTCACAAGCTAGATCTCAAAGATGGACACATACATATACATATACCATTTGCATAAGTATATATGGATATGGAAAAACATTAACATGAATATAAGGGATTCTTTACTAGAAGATGAGGAGGGAAGAAAAAATAATAGTGGGTGAAGAATTTTGAAATATATTTGAAAGAGATAAATAAAGTGCCTGCAACTATAAAAACTGAACAAGTGAAACTTCTGAAATTGTATGGGCAGGGGGAGAGAAAGTAGGGGAGAAGAATTAGAGGGGATGAGGATGGTTAGAAGATATTGCAACCATGTGTGAAATGCAACAATGAAATCCCCTAACACTGTACAAAATATAAGCTAATAAAAATAATGAAAGAAAACAGAATTTCCTAACCTTTCTTTCTCCTTTCAGTAGAGACCTGAGACTACAACCAATCCTAACTCACATGGAATCTCAGGTGAGGAGATTTAGTGGAATTCTTATATTAGCGCCAAGGTCCTCGGTCCTCCCAATTTGCTGAAGGAAAAATATAAATTAATTTTCTCTCTCTCTAAATCCCTCATTTACAGGAGTGTCCTGTGAGAGCAATACTGAAGCAGATGTAGGGTGGGGTGGGGAGGGCTAACAGCCTCACTTAGATCCAGAATACATGCAGCAGCAGCTCAGTGGCATAGAGAAGTGGCCATGGGAGGGGCTGAGCTGTCAGGGCTTCCCCTCTACCTCATCCAAGTCAAGGCCGTCCAGAGATGAGGGCCCACAGGGAGAGGCAGAGTGGTTTCCTGAGCAGCTGCGCACATCCTCAGTGTGGACTTCAGAAGCCCAGGACTTAAGTCGATCCCGCTCCTACCTGTGACAGACCCTAAGTCAGTCCTGTACCTACCCTCCAGGGCCACTGCCTCATCTGTAAAGCAGGCTTCTTCGAGATGGACATCACAGCGTTTTGATGACAATCATATCATGAAAGCATTTTGTAAATCATAAAGCTGTCAGCTACCACAGAAAAGCTGTCTCAGGCCCTCTGCTAATGAAGGGCTCTCTGCTACTGACCTTTAGATTCCAAAGCCAGGCAAATTCATCATCATACTTTTAGGGCTGGGGTCGTGACACAAGCTACACAGACACTGTCACCAGAGCTTGCACTATACCTTCAGTATGAAGTCTCCCCAGGGTGGCAGAGAGAAACGTGGCTGACCTAGAAACAACGGACTCAACTGTAAGTGGAGGGTGCTTACGTGTGGTGTACACTGGGTTGTTTACTGTGGAACTCTGGAGCCAACTCAAGTGCTGGAAGGAAGCCCGTCTTAGTGAGTAAGATGGCTCATGGACACTTCGGTTTCTTATACCATTGCAGATGTCACAGGCAGGTGGTACTTACACACTCGGTGTGCACCGGATGGACAGCAAACAGCAGGGCTGCCAGCAGGGATGCTCTGGGGGCCAGGTGCATCCTCCGGCCTTTACTGGTGTACTGCAGACCACCAAACAGCACCGAGAAGACGTCCACCAGGAGGACAGAGATGCTGGCATGTAGGAGGATGTTGACCACATGAAAACCCACCGGGTAGAAGCCGCCAGACAAGTAGTAGTTGATCCTACAGTGGACACAGAATGGTCATACTAGATGCGTGGACGGTGTTCAATGGAACGGCAAGAGCCTGAAGACATGGTGTGAACAGTTACCCACAGAAAGGAGAGTGGAAGAAATGGACATGTTCCAGGAAAAGGAACACTAGAAAAAAAAGAAGCTAGATAATTGTGTGTGTGTGTGTGTGCCCAGACCTGGGGCTTTAACTCAGGGCCTGGGCACTGTGTCTGCACTTCTGTGCTCAAGGTTAGCACTCTACCATTTGAGCCACAGTTCCATTTCTTGTGAGCTAACTGGAGATAAGTTTCACAGTCTTTCCTGCCAGTGCTGCCTTAGAATTGTGATCCTCAGATCTCAGCCTCCTGAGTAGTTGAGATTACAGGTGTGAGTCATAGTGTCCAGCTAGATAATTCTTAAGGTGTAAAAAAGGGAAGCACTTAGGACTGGATATGATGACTATGCCCATAATCTCAGGAGGCAGAGATTGGAAGGATCACAGTTACAAGCTAGCTCTGGCAAAAAGTCAGCAAGACTCATTTCAACAAACAAGCCCGGCATGGAAGCTGACCTGTTGTTCCTGTTATGTAGGAGGCTGCAGGTAAGAGGGTAGAGGTCTGAGGCTGGCCCAGCAAAAGTGTGGGATTTTACCTGAAAAATGACTAAAGAAAAAGGGGACTGGTGATTAGTTCAAGTGGTAGAGCACCTGTCTAACAAATGTAAGGCCTTGAGTTCAAACCCCAAGTGTCACCGAAGAAAAACAGAAAAAGAAGGACTGCATTCCAAATAAGACATGATATACTGTCAGGACTTGGATTTAAGAGTCGTGCAACTTATCCACGAAGTGCTTCTAACATCAAGCTAGCCAGCTTGTCCTCCTCCTCCTCACTGACTGTGATGCCTACTTTTGACCTCTTCTCGGGTACTAGTGATTCCAATTCTCCGTTTCCTGCTTCTCTGAGAGATCTATGCACAAGTATTAGCCCAACCAATAGGTATGAGCAAGAATGTTTGTGCAATAATGAGACCTGTGTGATGTAATCGCTCACTGATTAACAGAGGTTGTTTTTAACTTGTCATTTCTTCACAGTGACTTCTTTTTTTGGTTGGTTATGGGGCTTGAACTCTGGGCTTGGGGGCCATCCCTGCGCTCTTCAGCTCAAGGTGAGTGCTCTACAGCTTGAGCTACAGTGCCACTTCTGGTTTTCTAGTAGTTTATTGGAGATAGGAGTCTCACGGACTTTCCTGCCCTGGCTGGCTTTGAGCCTCGATTCTCAGATCTCAGCCTCCTGAGTAGCTAGGATTATAGGCATGAGACACTGGCGCCCAGCTTTCGTAGTGACTTCTATCTTACTTTTGTTATGGGGGAAAAACCCTTCACAATTTCATCAGAAGCCTCATGTTGCTTTGACACATATCAACTGTTCCCTGGGTGCTAGCCAGGCCTTTAAAGGGTGCATCTCAGGAAAGAAAAAATGTGGAGCACTTAACTAATGTGAGCATTCTCCTTACTCAGGGCTGTGTTAACCTTTTCTGCAGCTTTCTAGTTTTCATCTGTGCTTGCAGGCGTGAGCACTTTGAAATCTTTCCTCAGGACCATCCTCCAGTCTCACTGGGCACATCTCCTGAGACTTGAAATGAGCACGGAATTCTTAGAATATAGGAGTGTCTCTGCCTATGGGAATCGCCAGCTGGTCCCACCACAGCTGATGACACAGCCATGCAAGGTCACACGCAAGCCTTGGATGGCTGTCACCGCCCCAAGCTGTCACCTCACCTGAACGTCAGGACGGTGAGAGGCCGGTAGGACTTGTGACTGGTGTTGCTGCTCAGTCTACTGCCCCAGAAGTCATGATGCCACAGGTCCCCCAGAGGAGTGTCTGCCTGGAGATCCTGCAGGACACATCAGGGGACATTCTGGATGAGGGAGACACAATTCTTTCCCAGACCTCTGTTGAAGCCCTCACCACTCTGACTGAGAGTTCCCGTGAATTCTCAATGCTGCCATTTCTGTGCCAACCAATACCACCTCTCTTTGCCTAGCATGGAGCCAGGCCTCTGAGCAGCGATGCGCTCCTTCAGTTATGTTCTGTATGATAAGAGCCTTGGGTGGCTGCCCTGTCCCCTCTGATAGCTTCCCACAGCCTGGAACAAAGCTGATGTCCTTACAGAGCTGCCACACAGCTTCCACTGGCACATGTAGCTGACTCTGTACTCCTGCCCCACTCCTGGGAGCTTACCACAAAGGCTTTGCACATGGAGGTATCTCTAGATGACCTCAGTTAGCCTTAACGCCCCACAGCTCAACTCCTCCCCTGTTCACATCTTGGCCCTGAAGCTTGCTGACTCCTGAGTGGATCCTGACCCCTTGAATCTGGGCATCTGCCACCTGTCACTCTTGTCCCATCTCCTGTAACTCTGGGCACATTGGTGGCCTATAATCACCACACTATCTGATCACTAGGCTGAGGCTCCACAAGGCCTAGACCACAGGTCTTGTGTACTGGAAATACCAAAAAAAAAGGTATTTAATATATGCTGAATGGACAAGTCAGCTAAATAGGATCAATATCATCTTTTACATAGTAAGATTATTTATAAAAACAAGCCCTAGCTTAAAAGTGTGGTTAAGCTGGGCTCTGGTGGCTCATGCCTGTAATCCTAGCTACTCAGGAGGCTGAGCTTTGAGGATTACCGTTCAAAGCTAGCCCGGAAAGTCTGTAAGACTCTTATCTCTAATAAACTACCAGAAAACCAGAAGTGGCACTGTGGCTCAAGTGGTAGAGCACTAGCCTTGAGGTAAAGAACTGAGGGACAGCGCTCAGGCCCAGAGTTCAAGCCCCACGACCGACAAAAAAAAAAAAAAAAGTGTGGCTAATTTATTTTTTCCATTTTTGATGAGTTAAGTACAACTAGGAGATGAGGGGGGAAATCTTCCATATATTTTTTAAAGATAAAAATCTGTAAATAGTAAAAAAAAAAAAACCTTGCTGCTGAGGTAATGCTAGAGAAGTTTAAAAATGTATCCTTTGTCAGCCAGTCATGAGGGTATGTGCCTGAAATCCTAGCACTTGAAAAGCAACCATGGGAGGATTTGTGATTTAGATGCCAACATGGGCTACATAGCAAGATCTTTTCTCAAAAACAGTAACAACAATAAAAAGCCTATTTTTTTCATTTAAAACAATAAACTAAATGGAAGGCAAATAAGACATTGAGGAAAAAGTAATGAATGTGATTATTAATTTTCTCCTTACAGCAGAAGACTAGGGTATGCAATGCAGTGCCCATTCCAATGGTAAGGATCCCTCTTTCCAGAAGCCAAACTTGCTGTGATTCTCTGAACAGAGGGAATGCTTTGAAGGGGAGCAAGAGTCTCCCAGACCTGCCAGGTTGCTGGACCACCAGGAAGGTATTACGCAGCCAGGAGTGTGAGCAAGTCATGCCACCAGACCATGGCCCTCATCTCTTCACTTGCGATGAGGCTCCAGCAATTGAGCACCTGATAGGAGGGCCTCTGCAGGTGCCAGCTCCCTAACAGAACGGTCTTTAACACACACCAGAATGTGCCACAGAACAGCTGTCAGATACCGGGCCATCTCAAGGAGCAGCAAATGTCCATACTGTACAGCTCAATGCCTGGTACTGACGGTGCTTACTGAACCAAAGAGAAAGTCTTGAGAAGAAGGGACAGAAATAAAGCTGGTTACTGGATAACCACTGCAAGGAAGACTTTTACTTCTACTGGGGATCTGAATCAAGGCACCCCAGGAGCTGGTGCAGTGTTTTGTGACAGACATGGAATCCACCAGCTAACTTAGCAGACTCAGTGACAGAAGTGGCAACCTACCTAACTTCTACATGGTCGCAGAAGGGCTTGTGCAGTGGTGAAGGGTGAGTCAGAGCAGCTCCTTCTCCCTCTCAACAGGAAAAAGCACCCAGGAAGCTCTAAATATTTGATTAGGTGCAGTCTATGTGCCACAGGGTGCATGACAGAAAGGTGGGTCGATTTTTCCTCATGGTTTACGGAAAGAATGAATTGGGTCTGAAACTTTTTCTATTCTTCTGTTTCAAAGAAGATCATAACCTCGTTGAACAAAAAGGCAACTCAGCACAGAAAGAAGAAAGTGTCTGGAAGCCAGTCTTCCACACCGCCAGACTCAGAAACAGCCTGTTCATGACACTGCAGGCAGGGTGCCAGGCAGCGAGACATGACTTCCATTAAGCAGGGGAGGAGAAGGCCGGGCCGGCAAGTTAGCATAAGGGGCACAGACAGGCACTCCAGAAGATACTCAGAGCCAAGAGATGCCTTACCTACTCCCCCTCATACAGAAGGAAGGTCCATACCAGGCATCGCTCCCAACCCCCTACAGAACCCATGTTTCTGCCCTGCGCCAACTGTCTGGAATTTTTTTTAACACTGTTTCCCAACTAACAATTCATATATCCACTCTCACAAAACGAATAACAGAACTAAAACAATAAGGATGAATCTTGGTTAGAAAAGCCAATTCTGTGACTGGCAAGCCTGTGACCCACTTGCTTAGAGCTTGAGTCACCCACAGTCACCTATGACAACTTGAAGGAAAGAACAAGTGAAGCACTTAAAAGTAAAAGTGAACATTAACTGGGGAGGCAGAGGCCAGAGGTCAAGAGGATTACAATTTAGAACAAGCCTGGGCAAAAGGTGCTGCACTACTTGAGCCATTATCACCCCCACCCCCAGCAAAAAGGGCTGGAGGGGTATGGCTCAATTAGTGCAGTGCCTGACTAGAAAACTCAAGGCCCCAAGTTCAAACCCCAGTAGCAACCCAAATAGCAAGCAAGCAACCAACCAAACAAACAAAAAAATGTAAACATCAACTAGTATGGTGGTACATGGCCAGCACTGGAAGATTGGGGTAGGAGGCTCACTAGGTCAAGGCCAACAGGGGATACACAGTATGTTTCAGGCCAGCCTGGGACTTTGAAACAGCCACAGTTTCAAAGAAAACAAAAGAGAAGGAAAAGAAAAAGCTAAGCATTTATCAATAGTGCTGTTCCTGCCATCAAAAACACAAATAAAATACCTGCAAACACTCATCTCCCAACATGCTTTATAATTTTCTATGGCATTTTTTAAATATGAAAATAACTTCTTCCTCTTGTGGTAAAAGCCAAAGCTTTAAGTTGTTTTTTTTTTTTTTCTTCTTTTTTTTTTTGGGTCCGGCCGTGGGGCCTGAACTCTGGGCCTGGACGCTGTCCCTCAGCTCTTCAGCTCAAGGCTAGCGCTCTACCACTTGAGCCACAGTGCCACCTCCGGCTTTTTTCTTTTTGCTTATGTGGTACTGAGGAATTGAACCCAGGGCCTCAGGCATGCACTCTACCACTGAGCCATCTTCCCAGCCCCTAAGTTTTTGTTTTTTTTAACAAGCATTCAAGTATAAAGAGCTCCCATGATTACATGCCCTATGGAAAGAGACAGGTGATTCCTTCCTGTTCTCTTCATTGGCTAAGCAGCATGCATAAACTGTTGGTTGAGTGACAGACAGGCTGTCACAAAACCTTCATCTTGTACTACTTCCAAGTTCTTTCTACTCTGGGCCTTCACTGTCTGCCTCTAAATTTCTTAGTCTTTTAGTTATTTGAATCTTTGCCTTTCCTCCCCGCAAAGTACTTTCGTCTTTTCTAACTGGCCATCAAGTGAAAAGAATATGGACTGATGTTGCTGCAACTGGTGAGCAACACTGTCCTGGACTCTCCAAGTTCAGCAAGAGTGAGTCTCTAAACACGAAACCATCAGCAGCTGCAGTGTCCCTGGGAGCAGGCTGCCCATCCCCAGAAGCTGCTGGCAGCTGTCCTCACATTTAGTGAAGGGCAGATGTGGCTGAGAGCACACCTTACCCCAGGTGATCATACTCCACCCACCCATCATGGCAGCAAACACAAGAGTTTCTTTCCTTCTTCTTCTTTTTTGGGCGGAGGAAAGGGACAACTACTTTGGAATTTTTCATAAAACTTGAAATACTCAATTAGAATATCTGACATACATTTGTCTTGAAATCTTAGAAGATCAGTCTTTCTGTAACAAGTATTAGGCAGGGGAGGTTGACCATAGACACTAAATTATGGAGATGATACAAAAAAAAGAGACAGAGATAGAGACAGAAAGAAAGGAAATGCATAGCACAGCTAGGGACCCAAAGAAATTCTTGGCCCAAATCTAATAAAGAATCCTACACTAAATCAGGCCTTAGTGGCTCACACTTGTAAACCTAGCTACTCATGAGGTGGAGATCTGAAAATCGTGGTTCGAAGCCAAACCTGGGCAGACAAATCTGAAGCTCTTATCTCTAATTAACCAACAAAAAGCTAGAAGTGGAGGTATCATTTAAGTGGTAGTGTCAGCCTTGAGCAAAAAAACTAAGTGAGAGCATGAGGGCCTGAGTTCTAGCCCTAGTACTGGTGCAAGAATAAATAAAATAGAGACCCCTATACTAACTTAAAAGACTCTTGAGACTCAGGCAGGTAGGTAAGTATGCTTCCCAGAAAATGTTAAGATACAAACCTTGTTGTTAACAATAGCTTCAGAGTCATCAAAGACAAAATCTCCATCATAGCTCCGTGCAAAACACAAGAGGGAAACTAATCCCACTACTAACTTGGCCCAGAAAGGGGCAAGGACAGAAGATGGGATGATGTGATCCAAATCAGCATCCAGCTCGGCCATTTTGAAAACCACAGGCTGTCAGACTCTGGCTCCAGCATTATGCTGGTTAGAAATCTGCAAGAAAAATAACACTGCATAAATAATCTTCAGTGCATTGTCAGGAATGCTTCTGCAGTAGCGATCTTTACCTTACGCAAGTAAGAGCTAGACAGTAATTTAAGTTGTGGTTTCATAGGATGTCATCATTAAAAATTGTGGAGTTATAGCTCTTAAAGACTTTAGCGGGTAGAAACATCACACAGGTAAATTCCCAAGCCCCATTACAACCTACAGAATTAGTCATGCAGCCATGTGTCTGTGGATCACGCCTATAATCCTAGCTACTCAGGAAGCTGAGATCTGAGGATCTTGGATGGATGTCCGTGCAGGAAAGTACATGAGACTTTTCTCCAATTAACTATCAAAAAGTCTGAAGTGGAGCTGTGGCTCAAATGGTAGAGTACCAGCCTTGGGTGACAGTGCAGGACAGTGCCCAGGTCCTGAGTTCAAGGCCCAATACTGGCAAACACAAAAAAATAGAATCAGATGCCCTTGGGTTAATGGGCTCCATTTTAGAAACAATGATTTAATGGAACTCTGTTATAAAGCTTTAAAAAAGTCAGTGTCAACTTCATCCAATCAAGAAAAATCAGTAAATGTTAATCATGGGTAAGCTGGGCGTCAGGGGAGGATACAGGATATAAAACATTGCCCTGACTCTGATATAGTTAACATTCTGCAGGCTCACTTGCAGCAGGAGGGAAATCTAAGAGGGATATCCTGAGATAAGGACACATGCTTGTGTAATTGGTTCCTGGGTTAGTGGCGCCACATAGAACTGATAAGTTTGGGACAACATTTTGTCCTAGAAAAAGCCGGTCTGTGTCCCAAAGTAGAGGAGGGGAAACTAACAAGCAAAATATTATCATTATTGCTGGTCCTGAGGCTCAAACTCTGGGCCTGGGCACTGTCTGTGAGCCTTTTTGCTCGAGGCTAGTGTTCTATCACTTGAGCCACAGCTCCACTTCTGATTTTTTGCAGTTGAGATAAAACTCTCTTTGACTTCCCGGCTTTGAACCTTGACCTTTAGACCTCAATCTCCTGAGTAGCTAGGATTATAGGCATGAGCCACTGGAATCTGGCTCAAGCAAAATATTTTGTCCCATCCTTGCTAGTAGTTGTATGGATTTGTGCATGACTTTAATCCTACTTCTAGAACTTTCCAAGCAGCGAGAACTGTCTTAACAGCTTCCAGGCCTGTAATTGAGTCACACAAATGTAAATCTGTCTCCATTTCTGCCACACCTTGATAGCTGCTTTCTGTAGATTTGTCAGGACCATATCTGGGTCAAACTGCTCAGTTCCAATCTTGTTTAAGTTTAAGCTCCCTGGATGTTTCTCATTTCCAAAGCAGGGATGAGAGTATCTCTACTTATCGAGTTGTCATGAGGACTGTAATGGATGCTCAGGGAGCCTGGTAATTCTAACTATACTTTCTTTCACAAAAGGGAACAACTTTCTTTGGAAAAAACATCCTGTGCTACTACTGGCTTACAGGTGTCAGGGCTCTTGTCTACCCTACTAAGGGAGTGGAAGGAAACCGTAGTCCCCTGGCCTGGGAGGCTCTAGTAGGTTCCAGATCTTCAAGTGAATACCCTATATTATGAAAATTAACTAGAAGTTAGCCAATAGGAACCTGAGGCCCACAAGCATCTTTTCTATAGCTTTTAGTCTCAGTACAGGTGGAGACGGATCAACAGAACAGGACATGCCATTCTGTGACCACACTGACCCTTTCCAGAGGCAGAAAGTCCAAGTTTACAATTCAGACAAAAGACTGCAATTCTCCATTGAAAATCTCTTGAGCCTTATCACCTGAGGTAAAGCATGCTGGGAGAACCATCCACCTATTTCTGTGGCCTTCTTTTCTCTTTCAGTGAAAGGCTAAACCACTGCTTAAATCCAGATTACAGTTACAAACACAATTCAGGTCACTGTGAAGACCCCAATTACTGTGTTTACATTTCCGCTACAGAAATTGCTCCTGCTGCTTTAAAAAAAAATCAAAAGACTGAATGGTTAGGAAGACACCATGCTTTCACACAGAAGGAATAAAGGTGTTCTTTGATTTGGGAAAACCTACACAGAGGAAAACAAATATTTATACCAATTTTAGGAGAATAACATAGCAGCTGGGAGCTACAAAAGCTTGTATAACTATAGGGGGCTGGTGGCTCACACCTATAATCTGAGCTACTCAGAGAGCTGAGATCTGAGGATCATGGTTTGAAGCCAGCATAGGCAGAAAAGTCCAGTAGAAGCTTCTCTCCAATTAGTCATCAAAAACCCAGAAATAGAGGTGTGGCTCAAGTGGTAGAGTGCCAGCTTTGAGTTAAGAAAGCTAAGGAACAATGCTCAGGCTCTTAGTTCAAGCCTTAGTACCAACATTTGAATGTTTCATAAAAGTTAGCTATGAAATTCAAATAACCTTAAAGGAATACTACCAATTCAGAGAACTGTGCTCCTATGTTAATGGCTGTGTCTCTTCATCTTAACATTAGACATACCAGACTCCTTTTTGCTACTGAAGCAACAGCCAATGCCTATGTACTATAGACTCCATCATCTGCAGGGCTTCAGTAGGTCAGGCCCCCACTGTGGGAAAGTCAACAGATGCCTAAGTCAATCTCAGAATGATTTCCTTCTTGTCTGTGGGGATGGAGTGGAACACGGAGTCTGCGCAGTTTTACCCTTCAGGCCCTCAGCACACTTCTCAGTCTGTCAGGCTCTCTCCTCTTCCCATCCACATCCCTATCCTGCATTTCCTTCTCAGGGGAGTCCTTTATCTCTAAAGCTCCCACTTCTTTGCTGTCACCAAAAATACAAATGCCCTTTTCATTTACTGTTCACACGTCTACCAGAATAGTTCAGAAAATGTCTTGCAATAGCAAATGCCACACACAAAAATCTATAATGTCACTTGTGGTGTCTCACACCTGTTATCTTAGCTAACTGGGAGGCTAAGACTGGGATCATTTTGGTTCCTGGGCTGGCCAGGCAGGCCAAAAGGTTCAAGAGGCTCCCTATGAACCAATAGTTGGGCATGATAGTATGATCCTGTCTCCCGAGCTTCGAGAAAGGCTAATACTAAGAGGCCTGCAGCTGCAGGCTATCCCAGACAAAAAGTTCACAAGATTCCATCGCAATCGTAAAAGTTGGGTGTGAGGATGCACACCTGTTACCTCAGCTATGGTGGTTAGAAAACATAAATAGGAGGATCAAGGTCCAGGTTGGCTCTAGGGAAAAAGTGAGACCCTATCCTCAAAATAGCCAAAGTAAAAAGTGCCTGAGACTTGTCTCAAGTGGCAGAATGCTTGCTTAGCAGGTTGGGAGCAAAGTATCTGGAGACAGACACAAGTGGACTTGGTGGCTGCATGGCCTTGAGCTTCTTAGTCTTCCTAAGAATCATCAGCAACTTGAATACCACTGCCCTCTTCAGAAAGTTCAGGCAGGGATTAAGTGAAGTCCATGTAAGCAGTTGGTTCCCATTCTTGCTATTATTCTGGAGAAATCAGTTCCTGGTACCTAGTCCCTGACCTTCTGTCTTGGGAAGACCCATGTCATGTTTACTTCTTGGGATGGGATGGGCTTCCCACCAACGGCCTGCAACAGCCCATCAGATGACCAGATCATATACCACACATGCCATCCTTGATGAGGCATCTCTGTGTCCTGTACAACTGCAGTGACCCTGATCTTGGCTCCCCTTCCTTCAACAGGACCGTTGATCCACAATGAGGTTTGGCACTCAGGGGAAAGAAGCATATCATGAAACCAGAAGGGACACTTTCTGTGTTTTGCTTGGACCCTAAGTTTCATGTTATTACTCTTCTTTAGGTGCTGTCCAGCGTGGGAACCATGTCTTCCCTGAAAGCCCAGTTCCTTGGCCACACCTGGAAGTAGGTTCACCTGTGGAGGGAGGGACTGGAGAGAAACTTTGCTTTTGCCTTGGTTTTGGCAGTGTTCCATCAAAGTCACTGCCAGGGCTTGGATGGCTATTTGACTTGTGTGCTGGAATTACCAGACCCCTCAGCTATATTTGGAAAAACCAGAAGTCTCTTTAGACCTCAAAATTCTAATATGAAACCTCTGTTTTCAGGGGCTAAGTTAATCAACCATTAATCAAAAGGTCAAAAAGAGCTCAAACAGGGACTCTCCGAAAAGCCAAATAGCACTAAACTGTGAACACACAGACCCAGAGACAGTGGACACAGAAGCCCGGACTTGAAGTAAACAGAGGAGTGAGACCCAATATAAATAATTCATTTTGGGAAATGAGTAGCGGCCACCTAGGGTAGAAGCTTCTTCCATGTGCAGGGGAGGGCTGCTGGCCTCTGCCTGGCCTTTCATTCTCATTAGGAACTATCCATCCACACAGCCAGCTGCCCTCTCCATAAGGCTGAGACGTGACAGTGCCTCTGAAAAATCAGATTTCAAAACCATGATGGTTTCAACCCAGCACCAGGGGCCTGGTAGTACCCCACGGAGAGACAGAACTGCAGCTACCTTGAGTGCCTGAAGCCAAGGGAACCAGCCTATCCCGGCTGGGTTCCTCCAGGCCCGGCTGAACCAAATGATGCCAACTGTGTTGTATGGAGACTGATTTTCTCTTTCCTAATCCACTGATGCGCTAGGGCCAGGACTGCCTACATAGCAAGAGTGTCTGTGTGCGGCTCCCCATTGAATTCCTGTCCCACAAACTTTGCAGCTTGCTGTCTTGTAGCCATTTTCTCTCCCTGCCCACCAGCATCACTTCATCCACCACCTCCACCGGGTGCGAACCGGCCGGGTTAGGAGGGCGGAGAGGGAAGGGGCAAGGAGGGGATCCGGTCACCCTGTATTACTCTAGCTACCCAAGGCATCATCCATATGCTCCGGGAAGAGCAAAGTGTGGATGGATGACTCAGTGGCTCCGCTCGTCCCTCCCCCCCCTCCCCCCGGCTCCCTTCTTTTGTGTGTGGTTAAAATAAGAATACACAGCCCACCGTGGCAACATCCACACCCGACGCCGGGCGGAGTTGGCAGGAGGTGGGGTGGTCGCTGGACCACCCTCCCGGCTTCTCCAACTCCGGGCCCAGGGCGGGAGGGGGCGGCTCGGAGGCTCCCTGCGCCCCGGCCGGCGCCCCCCGCCCTCCCCTGCTTTCGATGCCGGGCAGGAAAGCGCCGCGCGCCCGGAGCGGCGGGGGAGCCGCCCGGTGACCCGGGCAGGCGGCCAGGCTCGCCGGCGTCCCAGCCAGCGCCCGCACCCAGGCCAGCTGGCCGTCCGGCGCGGGGCCCCGAGGCCAAGTGGCCGCTCCGGGGGAGGAGCGCGCCCGCGGGGCCGGCAGGGGTAACCTGGGCCCGGCAGGGGGACGGCCGGAGCTGGAGTCCGGGGCGCGGCTTCGGGGCGCGCGCCCGCTCCACTCCGCCCCTTTGTCCCAGGTGCTAAGCCCCGGTGTGCACGACGCCCGGGCCCCGCGTCCGTGACCGAAGCCCATAGCCAACTCCTCAGCCGCACGGCCGGCCGCAGGAACTGGGCGCCGCCCCCCGGGGCCCTCGCAAGCAGCGGGGCGCGCGGGGCTCGGCTGCAGCGGGGCCCCGCGCGCACTCCGCGCCCAACTCCGCTCACCCCGCGACGCGCTCGGCCCTGCAGGGGCCGCCCGGCGCGTTACCTGTGAGGAGCCCCAACCGCGGCCGCATCTCCCTCCCGCGCGCGGAAACTCCGGCAGCTCCAGGTGCCCGCCCGCAGCCGGCAGGGGAGGGGCCTCCCGCGCGCCGCCCCCCGCCGCGCCCCCCGCCCCCCGCCGCCCGCAGCTCCCCACGCGCGGGCTCCGGCTCACACACCCACTCCGACCCGCCCCCTCCGCCTTCCCATTGGTTATTTCTCCTGTCACTTACGCGCCGAAGCCCGGTTCCTCTTCAACTCATTGGTGGATGAGTGGGTGACGTCAGACCAGAGGGCACTAGTAGGAGGCGAAATAGGCGCCGGGAGGGAAGGACTCGGCTGGGGAGGAGGAAGCGAGCTGAGGGCGCGGGGCCGGGCGTGGCCCGTTAGGGAAGGGGCGGCTCTGGTGTGGCCCGCGCGGCGGGCTGAGGGAATCGGGCGGGCCTCCCGGAGGCCGCGGGTCAAAGGCCGGAGTGCGCGCTCCCCACGGAGGGATTGCGGTGTCCCTGCAGAACTCCTCGAACTCCAGACTTCCCTACCCGGGAGGAGCCTCGCTGAGGGGCGCGGAGAGTGCGTTCCTCCCCACTCCCTCGGCCCCTGCAGCCCACCATCTCGGCAGGGGCCCCGCACCCAGCCAGGGCCACGGAGCCATGCACGCACCCCCGGCCCCTGCCCACGCGGGCCCGCACCGCTCCGAACCCGAGACTGGCCATGTCATCTGGAGACATCCTGCTGGTGGAAGCGCTTTCCCCGTCCCGCGAACCTCGGGTGGGCGCCCGCCGGTGCCCTCCTCCAGTTAGATTCTCAGCAGTGTCTTCCTCCAGATGAAAATCCGCACCCTCAGCATCTCTAAGTTCCTGTCACCTCCACGTGCTCGCTCAGCTGCCACCGCCTCCTCCCTGCTTGCTTGAAGTCGTGCGAAACCGCTGCCTGCTTGCTTGTATGTCTCCAGCTCCACTCATTTCTTGATCCACTCAGTGAAACTGCTTTTTGCTCCCGTCAGCGGCAAAGCCCCAAGGCCGCAGATCGCCTCGCTTTCTGTGTGACCTCATCTGCCCTCCAGGTCCTTCTTCATCTTTAGAGTACGTCCTGGCTGTGCCAGACTGGCTCTCCACTTAGTTGTTCGCCCTCCGCTTGGCCTATGCGGGGTGACCTCTAAGTAAGTTTTAAAGGTCGCAGTCCTTACCTCTTACTCAGGCAGTTCTCCTTACTTGATTGAATATGCTGCCAGCATTTCAATCAATACATCGCAGATTTACATCTCTGGCGTTGGCTTTCTCTGAGCTCTAGGCCGTTTGTCTAGATTTCTCGTGGTGTCACAAGCACATCAAATGGAACACATCCCAAGTTCACCCCCATTTTTTTCCTCCTCTTCCCTCCTGCTGGCCTGTAATATCCAGAGCCCCAAGTGGTGTGTTCCAAACGCTTCCTTTACCTGATATCCAACAAATTCCCCGGGTTCTTCCTCTAACATCTCTTAAGTTTGACGATTCCTCCCCCCGCCCCCCCCCCAATTTCCACTCTTAACTACAGGCTGAGCATCCCTAATCGGAAAATCTGTAATTTGAAAGACTTAAAACAACATCAACAACAAATCATTTGAGTAATCCATTTTAAGTTTTGGTGCATTTCAAATGTCAGACTTTGCATATTAGAAATGGTCATTTAGTATTTAGTATTCTTTTTTGTTATTGTATATATATATGTTATTATATATATATATATTTATTATTGTGAAAATACCATACAGAGGGGTTACAATTACATATTTCTTGTCAAGCATTGTTGCCTCCTCCTTTGTTTCCCCATACCATCCCTTCCCCTCTCTACCCCCAACCCTCACACCCCCCTACCACCCTCCCATGCCTCCCTACCCCCCACCCAGCCAAAGTTGTAAAGTTCATTTTTCCACATAACGTCTTGTACATCTCATTGTTGTAATGGGTCCACCTGTAATCCTATTTAAACAGTTTGTTTTTTCTCTTCCCCTCCACAAATTATATCAACATCAAATACAGTGAAGTATTTAGTATTCTATGGAACAGTCCCAAGTTCAAAAAGCTTTGTAATCTGAAACACTTACAGTCCTGAGCATTTTGGATCAGGAATACCCAACCACAGTGGTAAGAGACAGTGCGTGGGCTTCCGGCCACACCCCATGATGTCACATTGGCAGATTGCCTAGGGGGAAGGTTTACTCCAGGGATATCAACAAACATTACAAATCAGGCCGAATTTGTTCTTTTGCTGCTCATCTCTAGACTTTAAGAAAGGGTTGAAGAAGCCTATAATACAGGTTAAAATTGAAAATAGGGCTGTGCTTGTTGCTGAAGCTGAGAGAAATCAGTCTGCTGAGTTTAACATAGGCAAAGGCAAAGGTGAGAAGTATTTTAACAGGTAACACACACCGGATTTAATGGCCATAAATTTATTGGACAAAAGTGGATTAAGATGCAATTTCATTTGTTAAATCACAGTTGAGTTGCAGTCATGGGTTGGATAAACTAGAAGTCTGGAAAAAAACAAGAGTATTTTATGACAATGGTATGAAATTTCAAGTGAAGCATTATTTGCAAAACTGAGCTGCACATTCATGCCAATAACATTTGTAATTCAGATATGAGCAAATATATGTCTACATCTTTACCCACAGAGCCAGTTGTTCATTTTTTTTTATCAACACAACAATGACTGACCTAGTGAGAATCACCAGCATTTGGTGAAAATAAAAGGTAGACAAAACGTTAGTCCATTTTATTACTGTCTTTCAGTTGTCTACAGATGCTGCACCCATTTCTTCCTACCCCTTAAGTGGTTTGTTACCCCCATTATGGCCCCTCTTAGCAGGACATGGCTTATCCTTGCTTTTGGCTCAGTATGGAGAAAATCCACATCCTTATCCGTAAGAGGCTGGTGGTGTGGTTTGAGGGCACTTGGGATGGGATAGTGAGATGAAGATTGAGAGATCTGATCTCAACCAATAAAATGCTGGGCATGGTGACACATATCTGTCATCCCAGCTATGTAGGTAAAGCAAAAGAAAAAATGCATGAAAAGAGCTGGGGGTGTGGTTCAAGCCATAGAGAGTGTGCCTTGCAAGAATAAGGCGCTCAGTACAAACCCAGTACTGTTATCACTTCTCTCTAAAATAGGCTTGTTAATAAGAAATGAAATTTACTTAACAGTGGGCTAATTACTTACTTTTTATTTATTTATTTTTTTTTACAGAAACATAGTGCGGGTTATCTGTGAGCTGCTATGCCGAAGGCTGCCATTTCAGAGCAGAACGGTTCATGCCCTCAGGGGAAGAAACAGATTTCTAATGATGGAAGGGTAGAAGACAAGGAATACAGGAGACAGGTTGGGAATGGGGCAAGTAAGTGGTTCATAATAATCCTGTGAGACATCAAGAAAATGTACCAGGGACTGGATACTTCTGGAGCAGAGCCCAGGAGAGAAGTCTAGGCTGCTGCTATAGATCTGAGTACATAGTAGACAATGAAAGCTGTAACCTTGCGTGAGCCTGACTGAGGGAAGGTCTGGGAAGGGCCTTATCCAGAACTCCAAGGAAGTAGCACTCCTTCCTAGGGGTGGGAGCACTCATTTCAGGACCTAATGATCGGCAGGGGGATCTCAGAAGTGAGCAGAGCTGCTATTCTCATAGTTACGGTTTATACAGCATCTAAGGTGACAGACTCAGAAAGATTCAGCAAGAAACATACTATGTAAAGAAGAGGCCAGGAGACACCAGGCACAGACTTCCCATGGTCCTGTCCTTGTGGAGCTGTATTAGCAGCACTAAGTAGTCCCATCATCTGTATGGGACAAGCCCAGTGAAGGTTTGCCAACTAGAAAGTTCATACAAGCCTTGCTGTTCAAGGATAGTAATAAGGTGTTAGTCACATAGACAAGACCATAGCTCACATTACTGACCTGTGTTTCCAGTCTCTCCATGGGTGAAGCTGAGGGAGCCTGAGGCCCCTACCATAAATTACATTATTAGTGTAATGTAGCATGACTCAACACCCCTGGAAAAAGAAAGACTGACTTAACAAACAGGATATTCCAGATGCCTAGCGCTGACCTCCTAGGTACAGGAAAAGAATTCAACTTTTCTTTAGAAGGTGTAAGATTAATCCAATGCCCACATATGAGAGGCAGCTGGGAGAAGATTGTGAAATTTGTTGGCCCAAACTAAGGTAATACAGGACTATGGAACCCAAGAGCAGGAAATCTCCAGAAGGAGAGCCAGAAGTGGGAAATTGGTCCAACATGATGGATGTTAAGGAATGTCTTTCAAATTCGGCTGTTAATAGGTTATTAACAGCCTGTGCACAGGATCAAGAAAGAAAGAAGTGGCATGAATTGAGGAATAAATCTCAGAGGGTGCCTTAGTCTATGTAGGCTGCTATAACCAAATACCATAAATTGGCCCCTTTATAAACAACAGAAATTCTCCTTTCTCTCAGTTCTGGAGGTTGATAAGGCCAAATTCAGGATACCAGCAGATCTGGTGTCTGGCAGGGGTCTGTTTTCTAATTCACAGAGGTCACCTTCTTGCTGTATCCTCACTTGGTGGAAGGGGAAGGAACATTCATTTCATTTCAGGACCTAACTACCTCACAAAGACCCTGTCTCCTAAAATCAGGGGTTATGAGCTTGAAGGGAAGCACAAACATTAAGACCACATCAGAAATAATGAGGTGGTTTTTTTTTCCCCCGAGAAGTGATGGAAAAATGACTTAAACTGGAAGCACTCATCTCTTCCCTTGACAGTCACATCCTGAAAAATGCTAGAACTACCCTTTTTGCAGAACTTGTCTTCGCCTTTCCTTCTCCCTTCCATAAACATACCTCAAAATGTTTCCTTAAAAGAAGGCTATCCTCAGGCTCTTGTCATGGCTTTGTGTTGCCATCCTGATTATGATGGCCTCTCGTGGAAGAATATGGCTCAATCAGGGTTTTTTTTTTTTTGGCATCTTCTTTATAATGATAGCATTTCAAAGCAGGAAGGAATCTTTTCCTACGATGTCTTTCTCTATGATTCTTAGGGAAGAGAAAAATCTTTCCTAGAA